TTAGTAGTTTTCAGAAAGAAAGTATGTCTGCATTTTATTACCCTAGAATGACCAGTAAGACACCGTTTCCCTTGTAACATTTTAAACGATTCTGACAAGTCATCTCGACATGTGTAACGGACAAAGATTTCTTTGTTCAATACATTCATGCCTAATTATATTCATTTCAATCGACGCTGATATAAAACCGTTTTTTAGAGACTGTTAAATTTAAAATTCTGTAGTTAAATTGTTAAACGTGTCATCTACAAGTCGTTAAGCGCGAGAGGTCCTCGGTTCAAATTCCAAAGAAACAATAAAAACTTTATCGGGCAACAGTCTGATCAACTACTTGCCTGTAAGAGAACCGACCAGACACAGAAATGAGTACGCCCATGCACAGGGGAAAAGAGATTTCTCTTAAGTTCATAGTTTGACTAAAAATTACTATATTCATTAAGCACGGATTACCTATCATAATACATGTAATTTTGAATATTGTAGAAATAAAATCTTTTTGATCGAGGTTTCACTTTTTAAATTTCGTCATCTTTAAAATAAATAAAGCAGGTAGTGAGGGTAGGATTGAAACTCCCTTAGCGGAGTTTAATGCAAGTGTGCACTTCACACGAGAGGACTCACATCACAATGACAGGGAAAGGCTAAAGTATGACATCTTTGACGTATATTATATACCTAGCTGATCCGGCGAACGTTGTTTTGTTGGTTGCAAAATCAATTTTATTATGTACAACTCAACGAATCATTGGTGCATGCATTGATTTCGACCAAAATTGATTACGATGAAAACAGTTCGTGTGATTTAAAATATCTTAAAAGACCGACATATATTGTCGCGGATATTTTTTCAGATCTATTGAAGCGGAAGCAACATATTTACACATATATTTTTTGGTTCCTTGACAGACAGCCCTCAAAAAGGAATTTTACCCGTTCTTTCAACATTTAGGGACTTATAGGGACGAAGAAAGGATCTTTCCTTCGCAGCTCCATTTCATCAAAAATGGAGTAGATATACGACCAGTCATTTAATCGATATCTTTTCAGTGTAATAATAACATTGTATTGTTTTTGAAAATCATTAAAGGTCATTCCACCTAAGTATATTTAATTATTGGTTATACTATAAATGGTTCTATTTCAGTAGAAGTCAGTAAATGTGAAAATAAAAACCCATGTCTACTTAAATTAACAATGTCATTTCGAGCTTTATGTTGCCCATAAATATTTTCCATTGTAATTTTGAACACAGGATTTAAAAGCACTATTGAAATACTAGCATACATTACACAGATAAAACGCGAAATGCGCGGGAAAATATCTGGCGATACGAAAACCCTTTTTGTTGTTCTTGGTAGTGAATGCTTTGAAAAAAGTCCAGTTAAAATACGTCGTTGTAGATGCCAACGTGGACGATAGTGGAACATTGTGATTGTCTCGCAAAAATAGCTTTTTACCCCTTGGACAGAGTACACTGTCCCCTCCGAATACAACCACCATTTTGTATGTTTTATCAGCACAAAAATCTATAGTTTTCGCTATTTGAAAAACTACTAAGCGATAAAATATTATCTGTGACATAAATACAGTGCAATGCCTTTTAAATGGCTGCAGTTTTTCGGTTCTTACAATTTAGCAAAATCTTTTAAACGTGACTTTACATTAATGTTCTTTCTATTAGTTGAATATAAAAGGATGATAAAAACACAGCAATATATGTATTACATTGGTGAAAATTGAGACTGCAATAGTTTGACAAATATATGATAAAATTAGTTCACTTCAAATTGTTGAAAAGTAGATTTCATTGTCCTAAAACTATTTTTAAAATCATTATAAAGGCATAAAAGTGAAATTTACCAAATTAATCTTTACGATATAAAAGGTTATATTTTTTTCACATAAGGTTAGGTAAATATATACTCTTGTCATTATGATACAGGTTCGATTTATTATCTTTCAATTGCTCCAGCCCAGGTGTTTCTCCAAATATTCATTTAAAAGACCTTTTGCTGGAAATGTTAGACGAAACATGGAAATCGTTGAAATGTGTGTTTCAACAGCTACATGAGCTTGTTCATAAAATTACTCTGGTTTTGCTGTAAATAATCTAAAATCCAGAGTTTCCGGAGGGAGATGTCGTGGTGACGTCAGCACAGCAGTGTCTTGGCAAAACAAGTACTTCCGCTCAAGATCTGACTCAGTCCTTAAAAGTAAAAATATTCGCGTTTGGCACCCTTCCAGATGGGGGTCACGTCTTCAGTGCTTTTACTTTTATAATTTTAGTCGAGAAGAGGGTGACAAAAGTTTGGATGCGTTGATTTATTTATAACGCTCGTGTTTCGCTTGTTTGTTTTGAGTTTTATTTATAAAAGTAAAAGAGATATAAGTTTTTGTACTTTTGTTTCAACATCTGTATTGTAAAAACAGAAAGAGGGAGTTGCCAAAAGAAAAAAATATATTTTTTAGAACATATTTTAACGGTCGTTAAACATTACGGTCGTTAAATATTTTAGGCCATAAATTTTCGTCTTGAGAGCATAAAACTATATTTTCTTAATCTCGAAAGCCCTTTGGAAGGACCTTGAGCCCAAAAGAGAATTTAATTTTTGAAAACTCGCATTGTTCCTCAATTCGCAAAAACCAGTATCGCTTGACCTCATTTAAACCCTATAAGGGTATACAGAAGGTAACTTACGTAATATTGGCGCTATGTAGTTCAAGAGTATGTAGCTGCATGCAGTTTTAAATTGCATTCGTTACAAATTTAAAGAGACAATGTCAAAGATGTCAAAGAAATTTAAAAGCTATAACGAACATAAAATTACATTGGACCAATTGTTTAGAGGTAAATTATCATTTTTTTATAACGATAGAGGAGGACAGTAGTTTTCGATATCTTATCACCCGTTTAATATCCAGATTTCCAGACGCAGTCCAACATAAAAAAATTGAAACATGTTAGTGGGATCATAATCACGACCCGTTGACCATTAGCCATACATTGCTAACATGTCAAGGAAATTATAAGGAACGTAATTTACATTACACTCATTGTTTATTTGTATAATTTCCTATTTATTGAGCGTGCTTTTGTCATCAATACTAATATTATAGATGTAAAGAGTTTGTTTGTCCACGCATATAATCTCAGATACGAAATCAGACTAAAAAGGTATGGAGAAAAAAATCTTAAAAAAAAATGATTACACGCGATGCGATGGTCATTTTGAGTTTACTGTAGGCAAACACAAGGCAATGCTATAGAGTCTAATTTTTGCTAACTTACGGTGTTCTGTTAGTGCGGGTCACACCGTGATCTTAAGTCTTAACGTCATATGTATGTACGTATTCCTGAATTTGTTGTCAGGAATATAGAGTCTTCAGCTTTCGTAAGTGTATCGTAAAAGTATGAAAGTAACGGCCGCGAAGCTATCTTGATCACCTATTGTTTTATGTACCGTTCTACTAAACTAACTGTTTAATTTGAATAGTTCCCAAGCTTTCGTTTAATAAAGATGTTTGACATTGTTGCTTACTTAATTATCCGCGGGACGCGTATGGATATCTTTAATCTGTGTTATAGCTAAAGAGCTGTTGTTAATTAACATTTAAAACCTATTATCCCAACGGTCAAAAGGACCGTTTAAAACCCCGTAGTTTCGGATGTCCCTGTGGCCATGGCTGATACGTTGTGTTGTGTTAGTGGCCGTAGTTAAAATAAGTAGTGAATAAGTTAACTACTATAGTTTACGTTTTACACGGTAAAAAGTGTTTCATTTGAATGTAGTTTACTAAATTATTAAGAATTGCGTAAACTACAGACAGAAGGTACCTAATATTGGGCTATTTAAAATATATTCGAACTGAAATTTATCAGATTATATTTAATTTTATTTGAATTGAATTATATTGAAATTGATAGAGCCATCAAATTTTGTAGTTTATCAACCGAAGATCGAACGGCCAAAGTTATACGACTAGATCGTTATAATGATTTTAAAAGTAAAGGCATTATAAGACTCCAAGCCTTCGTCTGAAGTAGATACGTCTACGCAAGCATATTATGATGCAAAGATAATGAGTTAAAAGCAAGAGAAAATCAACGGCCCGGATACATTTCGCTCGCAAAAAATACCCTCTTAATAAAACTGAACATTTTAATGTAACCTAAACGTTTTCACGGCGACTGGGCAGGAATGTGAAAGGTATTTCTTATTGTTAATATTATGATTATGAATGCAAAATGAAATTGTATCCATCAAAGCCTTTTTAACCAACTCTACAATAGCTTTATATTTTGTTTTGCCTCGTAATGTTAAGGGCTCCTTGTGGAATTGTTCTTTATTGTGCAAGATTCATAATATATGTATCTATATTTATAAATATATAACATCTATGATACACCACCTGTTCTTGAAGTATTGATGCTACCTATTTAAATTTTCGATAGATTTAAAAATAAATGTTAATTAAATGAAAAAAAACAACATTATTCAAATATTCAATAAGTACTTAGTGTAATTACATTCCCTATATAAAAAGAGAACAGAACAATATAAGATACACCATAGGTAGTAAAACTACCTACATAGAAGAGCTAAATAAAAAAGACGCTAAAGAAAGCTTTTAGACGGTAATGAAATCAAAGCAAACAGTCGTCATAAAAACCTCATACAAAAAGCGTAGTGTTCACAGAACGGTTGTAGACAGAAATCACATTAGCCCGTATTGGGCGCGCCGGTGCATATACCTATCAATACCTATGCACCCAGACAGACCTATAGTACACTTCACCCCTACGTCTCAATGGCTTAGGCGGGCACCCGTATGACTAACACTATAAAACTGAATTTTTAATAGTCGACTCTTAAACTATATTTCACTTTTAACACATGCTAATTGAATCGATAACATGGAAGGAACAGTCGATTTTTGAATGCACTGATTTGTTATCTTTTAATATAAAGACAGTAGTAATTTAAATTAAATTTACTTACTTTTTTGGGTCCATTCTGTACGATGGTCTCGTATTCCAAACCCTCCACGGACATTTTAACAAATTCTACACAAAAAATTCAACACTTAAAATTTAGTGATACACGCGGCGATATGCACTGTTAATTAGATTGTAATTCACAAACGCGTCGTACGAACGAGAAAATACCACTGGATGATTGAATAAATCACTGTATCCAATAATTTCGATCTGCTGAGCCGGAGAGTAAACGACCGACCTGCACGGTAGCAACGACCAATATGACGCCCACACAGCCTCCTACAGGCTACGATACACACGGCCCACACGAATGCACTGAATTCATAAGCCTTTTTGATACAACCTTATCAAATGATAAGGATAATCTAACTTATCATTCCAAAGGACAATGCAACTTGCAATGTACGGAGTTAGATATATTATTTCAAATTTGAAAATTTTAATTCTCACCTTCACTTACATACTTATGAAACTCTGCTTAAAAATTATATATAATAATTCACATATTTGTACTTAAAATATATTATATTATTAAATCAAATTAAATACAATGAAAAAAAAAACACTTATTTAGTTTTTCGATTAGTGTCTATGCATAATTGCAATTTGTAACTATTATACATATTATATTATACCTTCCATTAAAGTGTACATATTATTATAGTTAAGTGTTGGTATAATTAGCTAATTTGCATTTCCCGCGTAGCAAAGAGAACACAGGTAAAACATGAGGATGTCACTCATAAGAAAGAAAAAAGAGACGTTTTTTTCGATGAATTCATTAAAGATTGAGTTTTCGCTGAATAAATTAGAATCGTGTGATAGTAAATTATTAACTAGAATTTTATTATTAAGTTTTTTATAAACTATAAAGTATCCTACACAATATATACTTGACATTGACTACTATAAACTGGTTATATTGACAACTGACATCAAATGCAACATTGTGAAGTGTAAACAAAACCACAACAACATTTGCTTACAAGTAGATACTTATAATAAATACAATAGCAAACATTAATCAAAATTTGTACTTTGAAAATTAGTAATAAATTTTTAACCATAAACCACATGTTTATAAAATTTCGTTTTCATTCTAGGTTACCTTATCAAAATGTGTGAAGAAATGAAATTATTTAAACAAGGCGCTGAAGCAAAGCTATTTGTATGTAATTATCTGGGTAAACCTACGTTAGTTAAGGAAAGATTTAAGAAGCACTACCGGCACCCAGCTCTAGATGAAAATATAACAAAAGAGAGAATAAAAAATGAAGCCAGATCAATCGTGCGTTGTAAAGCAGTTGGTGTAAAGACGCCTTCATTATATTTGGTTGACTTTGAACGAAGACGGATTTATATGCAGCATTTCGAAATTAGTATCACAGTTAAAGACTTTATCATACAAATAAAGAAGGGCGAATCAGGTGACAGTGATGCCAGCCTAGACTCTCTTGCCCGAAAAATTGGAGAAACGGTTCGAAAATTGCATGAAAGTAACATCATTCATGGTGATTTGACGAGTTCAAATATGCTACTTGTTCCAAAAAATCCTAGTCCTAATGATGCAAATTGGACACAGCAAGACATAGAATTGGTAATGATAGATTTTGGTCTTTCTCGCTCTGACTCCAATGCAGAGGATATGGGTGTTGATTTATATGTATTAGAAAGAGCTATAATTAGTACCCATAATGACTGTCCGAATTTATTCACCCAAGTTTTAGATGCATATAGCAATATAAAATCTAAAAAGAAATCTTTTAATATAAAAGAGGTTTTGAATAAATTTGAAGAAGTTAGAGCAAGAGGTCGAAAAAGAACTATGGTGGGATGATAAGTATTAATTAGTCTTATAAATATTAATAAACTATGATCTTTTCAATAAATGGTTTTATTATCGTAACAACAAAGAACCAATTTGCCTAGAACTTTACAATGAACACCACTTTTCGTGTAAGTGGTAACATTGTAATTCGTGATGTTAACTGTCAAATATTAGTTATAATTATAACCTCAAAATATTCTCTTAACTTATTTATTTATAAATAACCTATACGTTTGTTTTGATCGGAATAATATAAATTAAATACTACAATGAAGATGAATATGCGATGTTTCTTTAAAACCTTGCTTTATAATAAAAATGTACAATGTCCAGATTCAAGAAGTAAGTTTATTAATAAAGACTTATGTTGCTTTATATAAAGACGCTTATGAAAACGATTTTTTCTTATTTTACAGGATTTCTGAGCTCAAAAGAGGCTATAGAACGACGTCATCACCTATTCATGCTGGAGAAAAAACGGCAGATAGAAAAAGTGGGACGAATTGAAAAGATAGAAGTAAATTATAAAGGCACACCAAAGGAATGTACCCTTGTAATGAACAAGAATATTTCTACTCCGTATGACTGCGCAAGACGTATGTAACTCCTGTATCAACCGCATTTCCACTATATCATAAATATAAATATTATTTTACTTTCATCACACCACCTACTTTATATTGTTGTTTCAATATGTTGTCAAATAACTATGGTTAGTAAAAAGTCTCGTTATCAAATAGGACTACAAGGCTATATGTATTTTATTTACCCCATTACTTCTAAATATTGCAGATATGAGTGAATGGCATGCAGACAATAGTGCTTTGGCAGTTCTCGATGGAACAGTATATTGGGATATGCACAAACCCCTTACAGAAAACTGTACTTTAGAAGTAGGTTGCTTTTTTCATAAAAATACAGAACTCTGCCATCATTAAAGAACATATATCTAAAAATACACCTTCTGATATGTAGAGTTAAAAATTTACATTAATAAGACATTTAATTTTTAAGATTTGTTGTATATTTATTTCTTGGTATTATATTCTTGTGTCAAGTTATAAATTTAAATAAATCATATTATAGTAAGAACTATATGTTTATTGTTTACATCTTGTTTTTTTAATTTTATATATTTTTCAGTTTCAAAACTTCACTGTAGCTGAGCCCCAGCAAGTCAATAAAGCATTTTGGAGGTCCTGTTCTCTTGTTCTTGGAGCTTGTGTGACAGCTGCATTTAAAGACAGTGTGCCTGTCAAACTGCACAGTTTTCCCGGACCAGATAGTAAGTAGCTCTATTAATTTAATGGCAAATAAAATTATCTTTATAATGACAATTATGAATAATATTTAAATTGCTATTAAAATAGCTTACTTAGTTATATTAATAAATTGCTTTATGAGTGAAAGTAAACTTATTATATTATTTTTATTTATATATTTATTTCTTCACCCATTTAAAAGAAACATCTTATTTGTCAAAAGCTAACTTTAGACATACTCAATTACTCGTATTTTGAATACTATTAAAAATCAATTATAAATTAGAAAAAAAATAATGACATGTTGTATGTTATTGGAAGAATTTTTTTTTTCAACTTATAATTGATTTTCAATTTATATAATGTCATCATGCTATGAAAAATATTAAAAGTTTTCAAACATTGAAAACATTTTTTTTAGTTCGAAGTGGCTCATTTATATATGATGTAGACCTTCCAACACTCTCTGACTGGAAACCAACTCCACAGGAGATGCATACTCTTAGTGCTGAATATGTAATATTGACGAGAAAGGTAATTAATTGATTAAACGATAATGCAGGATGCATTAGTTATGACTAGCTGACTTGACTAATAAGTTTTTGCCATATGAAGTATTTTAACTAAATTTTATTGCCATAAAAACGCTTTTGTGAGTTAATCTTAGATTAAAAGAGACCTAAGTCGCGGACTTTTTTAAGATTATTTACAGGAATAATTCTTTTATATATATTTTTGGTTATCTGAAACCATTTTCACAGCATGGAACTTCCAATTTTAATTTCCTTTGCTCCTAATGGTTACAGCCTAATATTTTACAATATAAAACCTTCCTCAATAAATGGACTAACCATCACCAAAATAATTATTCAATTCGAACCAGTAGTTCCTACAATTAGCGCGTTCATACAAACAAACAAACCAACTCTTCAGCTTTATAATATTAGTATAGAAAAGTACATTTAATATGCATGTTTTAAATTTCAACATCCAACTTTTTTGTTCAAAGGGTCTACCAATAGAGAGGCTGGATGTGTCTGAGCAGCTGGCACTAGAAATGTTCATAGATAATGAACATAAGAGCAGCCAAATTCCGAGCATAGCCAGAGCTAATGGTATGGTATCACTGAAGCTGTATATATAATGTCTCACTTGAGGCCTAGGTCTAATTTGAATTTAATTGGGAGGTGCAGCAATTTTAGGCAAATTTATCTTGTTTCACATTTACAAAACAAGGGTCAATGTCTATTGCACAGCAGTTTACAATTTACAACTTAGTCTCAACGTGTATATTTGGTTGTAGGATATGTAAGATTAAATCCCAGATGTTTCCCAAATATCTTCAAGCCAAAATAGGTCCTTCGACTTTATCTTAATCGTGCTCAGGGTATATCACCTTTCATCTACCCCACACTTGTCTACCTCCCCCATAAAAAAATCAAGGAATGGGTAACATAGTTTTTGATTTATTACTTACTGAACTAACAACTGTAGATACTGGAGAATATATATGCCATTTTATTGTAATGTGTTTGTTATAGGTAAAGTGACTTTGTACAAAGTTGATAAACATGTGGATATATCAAAAGGCCCAATGATTAGTCATACTGCGCAGATTGGAAAACTAGCTATTACTTCCGTACACAAGTTAAGTGGTAAGTTGGGACACGACAAGCTTATTAAAATATTCAAATACTTAATGAAATTTTATAGCAAAAACTTCATTGAATAAAGAGCATACGGTATAAAGAAAGTGTTTTTTGGGGGAGAGTGGGCTCTTTTATGCTTACAAGAATTTTCGTCTGTTTCAATGTCGATCGGGCTTCCGACCATTAAAATCACTTTGAATGTTCTTGTAATAGTGCAGGGTTTAATGTGCACTTTTCTCCTTTACAGGGAGTCCAGATAGTGATGTAAAGCAATTATATCGTTTCCAAGGTGTTGCGTTGCCCACGGGGGTAATACTTAACCATTTTGCCTTCTCCATACTTATAGAAAGGGCTAAGAAACTGGTAAGATTAAAAATACTTTATTCTCTTTAAAATTTCAAAAATTATTTAGATTTAAGTTTTTTGAAGGACGAAAAACAAAGAATATCTATCACATTCTTATATATTCTTTGGAAATAAATACATGCTATGTTTTATCCTAAACGGAATTGTATTAAATACTGTTTATAGTTTACGCGAGTAGTACACATGGTACGGAGAGACTCCCCGTGGCCACTGCTGCTGCAAAGAATCCGAAATGTCGGGCCGTAATTAAAAATAATTCTCAAATAAGTTTAACTAATATATCGCGTTTTAAACCGTCAAAGTGTTTTATTTAAGTGGGAATTGTATTGTTAATAAATTTTTCAGAACTCTGCGCGCTCGCCAATCAGCCCATTTACAGACCGCGAACCACAGAGCATAGCAGCAAATGCTTAAGAAGTTTAGTTATAAGTAGGTTTTAGTCATTTAATTTAAGGTGAATAAATATTGATTAGACATTTCATACCTTTTTTAATGTTACCTTCTATTATGTAGTATGTTTATTCAATTGTAAAAAAGTTTTTGAGTTCATAATAAGATATATTATGTTCTTGATTTCTAATTACAAGTCAAGTCTTACTATAATAATTAAAATTATATAGGTATAGCACTTATTTATATGTACAGGGCTATAGTTTTGTAAACAAACACAAACAAAATAAGATTGATCTGTACATAATTTATTCACTCTTAGACTTCTTAGCATCAGATGGTCCATCTTCTTCTGCAGCAAATATTGTCTTTGGCTGGGTATTCTTATATGCTGGAGTGACCCAGAATGGGTTCTCCTCCGCTTCTTTTGCATACTTAAGAATTGCCTCCCTAGGGTCCTGCTCATCGTTGACCCTTTTACTTAAACCCAAGTTCCGGATCACAAAGGAACTTAGTGTACTTCCAGATGCAGCCACTCTACCACCCTGTCCCGATGTTATAGGCAAGTCAGGTCGTCTAGATTTGATAGGATCCAATCTTTCTTTCTCCATCTTTTTCTTGTTAGTTCTTAACTTTTCTTGTTTGAAAAGTGGCAATGCATGGGGTGTTATGATCTGCTGTGTGCTAACAACTTCTACAGACTGCTTCTTCCTGTGCGTCTTGACCATACATAACTTTGCGCCTCGCAAACTTCTCTTGCTGTCATAGTAGCATTTGACAACTCCATTTCCACAACCAATAAAAATTTGATTCAACTTGGGATGCCATATTGCTTTAATCACATGTGATTTAGTCACATCTATATGTGTTACCATGTCAAATGTTTTTGTATTGTAGAATAATAGCCGGCCGACATCTTGGTTCCGTTGCAATGATTCTCCTGTGAAGACCATTGTGTCATCTGGGCTAAAATTGCAGTCTGTTTGTTCATACCTCGAGAATAAACCACCAAAAATATTGAGGGGTTTCTTAAAGGATCTCAAATCCCACAATTTAAGAGTGTCATCATTTCCTCTACTGGCTAGGTATGAACCTAGATAGGAGAAGGCAATGCTGGATATTTCCGTTTGTTTCTGATGAGCATCACGCAAGATCCTCGTAGTATTGACGAAATTCTTTCGATGATCCCACATTTGGATAGAACCATCAAAGCAACCGCAAGCAACTGTGTTGCCATCTCTGGAGAAGGCGCAGGATGTGGGATTTGTTTTTAATCCACCCTGCTGCCGTGGTTTGATGACGGATTTATGTTGCTTCGGGTTTTCTGTAAGCCAGAGTCTGAGAGTGCCATCCTGGGAACAGGTCATGAATTCTTCTCGGATGTGGGGATGCCAGCATCCACTGTTAAGGGCAGCTGTGTGGCCTTTTGTCCTGTAAAAAGATTTAATTTAACCATGAAATTATTATGATATTTTATAACCTTGACTTAATGTCTTTGTGTACTTTAGGGTACATCTTTGATGCATTTCAGTCTTTTATACGACAATAATTAATGTTACAAATCATGTGAAATTTACCAAATTACCTTGCCATATCTGTAATATATTGATCTCCTTTCACACACTCAAGTACTTCAAAACCATCTCTATCTAATACTTTGGCTTGTGCAGAACCGCTGACTACTAAGATAGAATCACCAGTTGCTGAGTATTGAAGAGCTCTGATTGGATGGTTTTCACATGGCTGAAGGGTTCTAAAGGACCGCATCGATGAGTCCATTCCTTAAAAACATTGGTTGATAAATATATTAACATATTTATACTACTGCCAAACAGAAGAAATGAGTTTATTAATTATATATACTTTACATATCAGTGTTAACAATTAATGAAAAAAAGCTTTTCACTCTAAGTCTGCATTCATTCAGAAAATGTAGTTTATTAATGGTTTCTTGATACAAAGGGTAAGTATAATATAAAATTACCAGCAAAATCCCAGAAGGAAACATCATAGTCGATAGAACCAGTAGCTAATCTGGCTCCTGATGGGTCTGCAGCTAAGGCTACAACAGCTTTTGAACCATGATGCATTTCAACCTGCAAAATAAAATAATAAACATTTACTCTTATAAAATGAGATGAATCTAAGGGAAATTAGAAAAGGAAGAAAATATGATATGACAAGTATTTTAAACCCATCCTAGCTGTTCTAATCTATCTATACTAATATATAAAGCTGAACAGTTTGTTACTTTGTTTGAGTTGTAAAATTATTTTTGTGTTGATTAGAGCATTTATCGAGGAATTCTATAAGCTATATATACTGTTCCTAATAGGGGAGAAGAAACAGGTGGAAATGTTGAAAAAAAAACAGGAAAAATATTTATCTTCATGGGCTTCCGTTGCATACACTGCGTAAAGGGTACAAGATACCCAAAAAATATGTATGAAAGAAGATTCCTCTTTAAATGATCTAAAAAATATCTGCGACACCATATGTCTATCTTATAAAATAACAAAGGCATTGGTCGCAATTGAAAAAACACTAGTCAATTGTATATACACACTTTCACTGTAATATTAATTGTATTTAATACTACCTCATGTGTGTTTGGTATCCGTTTTTCTAGTGGTAATTCTTCATCATCTGAATCACTAAGTTCATCAATACTATCCTCATCATTGTTACCCTTAGTTTTACTAGTTTCTTCCTTATCTGGCTCTTTGGCTGAGAGGCTAGACGGCACGGGAGGGCCGATAATGTCATTGTCAACTGATACCAATGTCGGCGACATAGTGCCATCAGTATCGTCATTCTTCTTTTCCATTTCTTCCTTCTTTTTTGCAACTTCTTGTGCTGTTTTCCTTGCGCGTTCCATCATTTCCTCTATGTCGAAGTTTTTTGCCTTTTTCCCGAAGTTTTTTATCCCCATAACTTCCTGTACATGCTGACTTTCAAGGTCGTCTGATAATTCTTCGATTTCTTTATGCTCCTGTATAGGACGGCCGAAAGTCCCAAACCCGGCCGTCGACTCATTATCCTTGGACTCTTTTTTGAAATTGAGAGTGATTTTACCAAATGCAATAGGTTTTCTACTCATATTTAGAATGGGATCTTAAAGTAAGCATCCAAAACAAGTACACAAAGCCTATTTTATTTATTTACTAAAACTAGAATGTACTAGACACGTTTTGAAGAAAACTTCTAATGAATACAAGATTAAATCCGAGCACAAACTTTATAAATAATGTATAATATTATTATAAATATTAATAGTTTCGGTTTGTTATGTTTCAGAACTGCTAGAGAAACTCAAATTTACACTTCAGTTTTTTTAACGTTATTGAGTGATAGATGACATTGACATTTGCCGAATTTTAATCTGTTTGTCGTATTATTAATATGAACAAAAATAAAATAAAAACAATGGATATTATCAACCGAAATATTTTAGTTACAACACATGTAATCGCAATTTATTTAAAATCCATTTAAAACATTTTGATTACTTATTTTATTTTAGCAATTCCTTACCTTTAAAATAATATATAACTAACGTATAATGTAGAAGCATTCAAGTTATTTATTTTTATATCAGAAAATATTTTGAATTGCTATATTCGATAAAATTATTTATCATTGTTTCAGTTTGATGTAACAGAATTCTTCAAATAGTTTAGCTAAATTACGAAGGCTGCATATTGAACGCATATGCATGAAGAACAATAAAAGACCGTGTTATAATTCCATATCACAAATAAAATAAAAAACAAGTTCTAAGAATATTTAACATTCCGCCTAAAACATTTCAACAAGCATTGTTTCGTGTATACGGTACCTAATTAAAAAATTACTAACTGTCATTATCTGTGTTACTGTCATTTTGATTCAACTTTACAATTTTGCATTTTTGTTTAATTGTCATTTCTCTAAGGCCGTGGGAGTAGGCGGTTGTGCCGGCCTCTTTGAAAAATGTTTTCGTGCATATTTTTATGTTTATTCGTCGGCTACGCTTGGAGTTTTACCGATAAAGGTAGATTGATTTCCCCATTATTGATATTATAGTAGTAAGTTTTACCTGTACGTGATGTATATAGATTGCTATTTTCAATAATTAAGTAATTTGATCTCTAACGTAGGTAGATGCAAGATCTTTAAAGTAAACTGTGTCTTACACCATAAGAAATAAAAGGCTTCACTTATTGTCATTGTTAATGTAAGGATCTATTATTTGTTTTTACAAAATTTGTAGGTGTAATTAATGTTTAACTAATAAATATATTGTCAATCATCTTTTGTTTGCGAAAATAGCTATTTTAAATCAATAATAATTAATTGCGTTTGCATGATGGATTTCTTTCTATGTAAATCTAGTATTTTGCTGTAGGTAGTATTTGACTATGGAAAGATACATACCTTTTATGAAAAACAGGTTTTTATGAGAACTTAGAATATCAGTATACTTCTAAATTTCTTAAGATAGAAAGATTTTTGCCATACTAGAAAACGCACCGCTCACCTTCATACTGTATATGTTTTTAAAGTTTTGTTTACATTTTTTATGCATGGAAATTATTAACAATGTGATAATATAACAATAATTGCTTAAAAACTCTATCTCTCCGTTATGTTAGGATTTCTATCTTATTTCTGACAGACATATTCTGTAATTTAAATAAGCAAATAATATATACAATATATGAGGGTTTTTGATTCTTTTCTAAAAGATATAGTTATTTTGTATCTTCTTATAAATGCAACCTCTTTCTATTGTAGACTCCCCGCCGCAATGGAATGATGTTTACACAGTTAAGGGATTGTTAAACATACCATATGCTGAATTACATGAGCCGTTCTATGCTTGGTAAGTTTTAGGATGCTATAGGATGCGATAGCTTAATTTTTTAGCACAATTTCTCAGAAATAATCAACAAATATGTTTACAATGTGCTATGTTATTATAAAAGGAATTTTTATGTATCTTTTATTTAACTATCCATTGAAAAGTAAAGCCATCTTATATGTTTAAAGAAATCCTTTTAATATGGTTTATTAAATATATAATTTGACTTTAAAAGAGTTATTGTTAAAATATCTTTAGCTATAAGATGGTAAGGTGAGGTTTTAAAGTAACTATATGTGTACTCTGTAGCCTTTGAAATATAAATAAGTTAAAGTTACTGTAACTTTACAAATAAAAAAAAAATGAATTTTTTTAGATAGTTTGTAAAGAGGTAATTTTTTATTGAAGTGGCAGACAGACAATTGAAGGGTCACTTGATTTCCCATCAAATGAAAAGCACAATTTCTATACTATCTAATTACTGATATCTATTATATGTGGTCTTACAAATAATTTAATAAGACAGACTTTACCACGGGACGCGTCGAAGCAAATAAATAAGTTAAACTAGCAAATGAAACGCAGATAATAATAATATTAACCGATCTAAAGGTCAAACGGTTCATGATAAGAAGTTATTTACATAACAAATATGAACAATTGCGGTCAATTCAGCCGATTCGTAATTGTGTTGTGAATTATTTTTCCTACGGTCTTTAACCTTAATCTGGGCCAGGCGATGTTAGGATGTAATTATTTATAATCAATAATTGTGTCTGTCAGAACTACAACATCATTTTTAGCTACTATTCACAATTTAGCTACTTTTCTTTTTGAGCTGTTCGCGGGGATGGAATCATAAGTTTAGTGTTATTGACTTTTCTTTACTTAGTCGAAAACTACGAACGAAGCTATTCAAAATGGCCGCGAAAGCCGTATACCGCGCAGTTTAACTTTTTTCGTCTCAACTCGGTGTAGATAAGACGTCCTGGATTCGAAATCCAGTGGCTAAAAAAAAGATATCAGCCATATATGTCTGAAAATATTATTAATACTAGCTGACCCGGCACACGTTGTTTTTCCATATTAATAATTCCTAGAAGTTAGAACGACTAGAATTGTGAGTTTGTGAGGATTAAAAAGATAAAAATGTATGCTTGGGCTTAACGAATTTATATATAAAATTTCATAAAATTTGGCTTAGCCGGTTTGTAGGAGTTCGCGTACAAACACTTTGACACAAGTCTGTGTTTTCATATACTTCAAATATTTTAATCCCCACCAAAGAACATACAAATAATTTACATACAGAAATAATTTACATTTATTACTCCTAATGATTATTGATTGTACAAGTGACAGTAACCAATTAATACGCCATGAGTTGGACACGGATTCAGACATGACAAAAGACGGACACGACTCTAAATAATTAAAATGTCCGAAGGGCGATAAGTAATTAATCTTCCTTTGAGGCTTAATGAATCTGAGAATTTCTTTGCGCGTATTTTAAATCGCAAACCGGATTGCGTATAGTTCTTTAAATCGGCCGCGGGTTAATGAGGTATTGGGTTCATATATCTCTATTTTAAATGACAATGGTAATATTATTAAAAAGTTTGCGACTTTTTTGATCATTTAAAGTGGGATCATTCATTCTTAAACTATTTTTTGGGTATCGAAAACCGTTTCGCAGCGTACGCATCGGAAACCCACGAATGATTTTCACAGTTTTTCCACATTTCCCGCTCTTTTTCTTTCTTCGCTCCTATTAGTCACAGCGATGTTTTATAGACTTCCTCAATAATTGCTCTAACCAACACAAAAATAATTTCTCAATGCGAACCAGTCGTTTCTGAGATTAGCACGTTCAAAAAAAATCGAAAACCTTGACGGGTCTTGTCTAATGGTAGAAATGTATTGTTAAAACGGGTCGTAGTGGGATTATCGAAATTCTTTTCAGGACTCGAACGACCGTCCACAATTGTAAAAGCCGTGAATTTAATAGCGTTTCGGGTTCGGGTTAAGTTTGTGAGTTTAGCAATAACAAAGCTAACTACTACTAAAAAAAATAACAGCTATTCATGTTAATATGTTGTATAGCTTTTAACTTATTAATCCTATGCTTGTCTGTCTTACTCTATCATAAAAAAGGGTAAATGGTATAGTAGTTGGTTACCGTTTTACGTTTAAACTACTTGACCAATTTTATTGTCCAATTGTATCTCTTTTCTTGGCATTAGGTTTGTCGCTTCACTTGGCTGGTTGAAGTCATATCACCAACGTCTCATGCAATATAATTATTGCTTATAAGATTGTTTTATTTGAATGTAAAAGTAAATGATTTTCTTGCTCCAGGTACGATCGCAAGAATGGAAAGTCTCGTATCGACTACTATGGTACAATGGTTAAGACTTACCAGCTCGAGTCGAGCGTGTATCCGCAATTCGGCACATCGATCAAGGTAAATTATTATTCATACTAGTTTTAGCTGTCGGTCTGTTTGTAATTACTTTAATTAAACGATAGTAAGTTATTTAAGATAGTAACAGTAATACATAGAACATCATAGTACAGGGACAAAATTATTTAAATAATGCCTTTCGTGAAATATTGAATTCGCGTCTGTGGACTGGAACGAACGTATAATAATGTACCTTTAACCGTTTAAAACGTGTAAAATTTTATTAGTGAAATGATTTTAATATATCTAACGTTTTAGCGACGGCGCTAGCGTAGAAGATTTGACTTTAAAATTAGAGACACCTTCCATTTTCAGTCCCCCCTGTACCTCGACTGCTGCATCAGAAAATAATAATAATATTTGGCGTTTTAAACCGTTAAAAGTGTTTCATTCAAACGTGTCCTACTTGCGTATACGTAGTTAACAATATAGCGTCGCTTCGTACTACGTTCTTTTGTCACCGACCACCGCTGCTGGAGCCAGGCATAAGGCTTAACGCGGTAATCTCTAGAAAATCTTTCAGTGCTAGGTAACTTCTTGGAAAGCTATTTACAGAGTATATAGAAAATGCAGCGTGGTAGGTATTAATAAAAATGTTGTAAAAACGCTGGAAAATATCTCTAACTTTGCAATAGTTATACGTACTTCTGATATTAAAATATAAGTTTAAATTAAAAATCGATTATGAATTGAAAAAAAAATACGACACAGGCAGGACTTCAACCGGCGTCAGCGTTTCGTGCTGTTGCTCTATACGTAATATATATACCTTTAAGTAACAATTTGTTTATAGATTGCGCCGATAACGACAGAACACGTCCTGAACCAAGAAACGTGCCTGCAAGTGAACGGAACAGAAGAGAGTGCGATAAATATCCAGTCGGTGCTGCCAGATATGACTGACTTCAAGTATGTAGGTAAGAAAGATTTCTCGTACTCATGAAGGTCACGAATGACGTGTACTTGAAAGCTCATTTATTCCTTTTTTAAATATAGGTTTCAACTAATTAGTCCCACCGCTGGGCACAAGTTTCATTGACAGGGTGAGCTTAGACCCACCACATTGGTCTAGAGATTTAAAATTTTATTTTTATCTACACTAATATTATAAAGCTAAAGATTTTTTTGTTTTAACGCGCTTATCTCAGGAACTACTGGTTTAAATTAAAAAAAATATTTTTGTGTTAGGGCATTTATTTAGGCTATAAAACAGGCCGAAGAAACAGGGAGATGTGAAAAAAAGAAAACGCGGGAAAATATATTCTATTTATCGTTGTGAGTTTCCCAAAAAAATATGTATGAAAGAATAAATTGTAAGGCTTTCACGGCTGTTAACTCCTCGATTGCTCGAAGAATTATAATTCTTCGAGCAATCCAGGAGCTAACATCTCCTGATGATGCCGTCCACACCTGATGGCGAAGCGGCCGAACAGCCCGAAAGAAATATGTATGATGTATGAAAGAATTATTTTTCTTAAAACAATCTACAAAATATCCGCGACAATATACGTGTGTCTAAATAAAATGCTATCGATATAAAACGCAAAATACACGACAACAAGGGTTTAACTAATACATTTCAACAAAAAGCAACTAGTAATATATTTCGCGATTGAAACCGTTAAGTGTTATATTGAAATGTGTACTACTCGCTTACGCTTTTTTACATTACAGACAGTATATGTTTTGTTTTTATGGTAATTAAATCTTTGATCTTATTATAAACAAGTATAGTTCGCAAGTAAAAGTTTTCATTTTTTGGAACCAGGTACAGAGACAATGCAGGATTCAGACACTTCAAAATGGCGAATGGTGATGACTGTTGGTGATAAAGTGAACAAGTACACAATGTGGGTGAAGTACAGGAAGAGTTTGCGCGGTGATGCCATACCGATCCCTGTTAGGTAAGTTTGTGTGTCTGTATGTGGTTCTTGTTTAAGGTACTAATATTAAATAGTCTAAAACGATATAAGCGTCATAGACGACGACTCAGAGTATCTTCAGTAGTTGTATGGGAAACTCAACGACACATTACGCAGTCTGTCGTGGGTTCAAATACCACCCAGGTTGTTGGTGTTTTCAGTATTTATTATAAAATAATTTTTCTATTTTCGATCTTTCAACCTAATTTCATTCGTTTAATTGGTTTTATTTTAAATATGTACTGCTCGCGTAAATTTCAGACAGTAAAATGTAACATGTGCTTTTATTTATTTTTTGTTTAATGTTCTCAGGTACGAAATGAAAGGCTTCAATTCGCTTCTGGGCTCCCACTATGACCATTATTACATCGACTATGAGGACTACTGCGTAGACGACATTGACCCCAATGTTTTCAAAGTAGACGCGAGTAAGTACAGGAAATATTAAGTGCAAGGTCGGGGTGTAAACTGAGCCCACAACAAAATCAACTTAATAATCGTAAGGAACGATTCCCGAACGAATCCTAGCCACACTTTTTGTTATAAAATTTAAAGCCTTCTAGATGATAATTGTTGTTAGGAATAATCTTATCGTCGTTGAAATTTTTGCTTTTTTAATTATATCTATAGAACTCCCGTCCGGGCCCCGAATCACCTTCCTCGAATGATGAAAGAGCCGTAAAGTTTCATTTCCCACATAGGATTTCTAAAAAAGATCGTCGGCGCATTTTGTTTAAATCCTGCATAGATGGTATTTCACCTTCCATTAACTAAACCCCAAGTTTGTTTGTCCTGTTATCATGAAATAAATAAATTAAACAGGTTTCAAATGCACTTCCTTCCCCGGTCCCGGATCGAAGCACTATGCCACCTTCAACCCGATGAAGGAATTCGTTCATCCCGTTCACGACGCTCACGTCGACGACGAGTTTGACAGGTTCGTGGTTATGTATTAAAGAAATCATTCAATTATGCCTTATACATAATCGTTCGGTCATTCACTATTGACGTTATTCATACAATAAATCATTCAATTTAAATATAACACTTTTGAAGACTCTAAACGTGAAATGTATTTGTTAATTTATTTACAGTTTTTGAATTTCCGAAGGCAAAATAGCTCAACTAAAATACAAAAAAATATTTTAACTATGGCCTGAAGTTTCCGATGCTTTGCCATCCATGACCATGGCCAGTTAAAATAAGATTACTGATACATTTCGCGTTTAAAACCGTTAAGTGTTAAGTGTTTAAGTATACGAACGAACGAACATGTAGAGTAATACATGTTCGTTCGTTCGTATACTACTATACTCTATTTCGATATAGTAATAAAATGTTCCATATAAGAAATGTATTAAATTGATTTTGTGCTACAGATTCCAGGCAAAACATAAGAAACAATACGCCAATGAATTGGAACAAGCGAAACGGCTCAACATTTTCCGACAAAATCTCAGGTAATGGTTACTTGTTCCTTTTTTTTATAATTGTAGCCTTTTCTATTTTTATGGGATCGTGTCGGCACTTGAAATTATTAAAAAATATCTTTTACGTGAGCTTTTGACCGCCTCTGCACCTGAATGATAAAACGTGTTGCCCAGCATTGCGTTAAGCGCGATATTCCCGCGATTCGAACCCCGGAGAAGAAACGGATTGTTTCGCTCGGGCAGGGAACAGAAGTCTGGTTAAATACTTTACTGCGAAAAAAACGGATCTGTGAAACGGATACAGGAATGTGTTCGCCCACGGTGGGGGCTATATTTTTTTTATTAAAGTCTATTGTTTTTGTAGATACATTCACTCGAACAACCGTGCCAGGCGTGGCTTTACTATGGCAGTCAACCACCTCGCAGATAGGACTGATGATGAACTGTCTGCGCTGCGTGGAAGAAGATACAGCGGACCAAACATGGGTATGGACTTGTAAATTACAATGATTACAGGCGTGTTGAGTCATGGGGTCAATTGTGAGTGTGACTTTTATTAAAATTCTGAGTATACATAATATGGACGTAAACAAAGCTACTTAAGTTTTCACCAGTCGTAATTGAGAACCGTCGTAACCAGTTCTCGACGTATCGCAATGACGTTTGAAAACTTATTTTTCACAATTAAATGTTATATATGTGAAAAATATTAAAGCTCTTAAATATTAAAATTTAATAAAAAACATAGTATTTTATTTAGTAAAATTGTCTTTTAGGTCTTCCCTTCCCCTATGGTAAACCTGAAGTCGACGAAATGAGTGTTAAACTACCGCCAGAGTTCGATTGGAGGCTGTTTGGCGCTGTGACACCTGTTAAAGGTAAATATTTAAGACAAGCGTTAGTCATTACTAACTGACCCTAAGAACCGCCTCTGTAGATAAAAGGTTAAACGTATTGCCTAACATTGTGTTAAGCGCGAGAGGTCCAGTGACTCGGGAAACATAAAATTGTTTCGGTCGGGCGTGGCACAGAAGTCTGATCAACTACTTGCCCGTTAAAAGAACGGATCCGTGAAACGGACACATAAATGTGTTCGCCCCATGCCCCACGAGGGGGAAACTTGCTTTAACAATTGACCCGTTATTATTATTGCGTGCTAAGTAACTAAATTTGAAAATAATTTTAAAGTCATTTTAGCACCAAGTAGAACATAAACAGCACATGATTAGCACTAATTGATCAACAAACAAAATACGTTTCTTCGTAATTTTGTTTTAAATGTCAGTTATATATTTGTTAAATTAAATAAAAATACGAAATTAAATATGTGTTATGTTGTGTCATAATAGATCAGTCAGTGTGCGGATCGTGTTGGTCTTTCGGGACGGTCGGGGCGGTGGAAGGAGCTCTCTTCTTGAGCAACGGCGGACATCTGGTTCGCTTGAGTCAGCAAGCGCTCGTCGACTGCTCTTGGGGGTGAGACAACAACAAGTAGTGAAGTTCATACAAACAATATTTAACGTGGAAACGCTGACTTAAGATTTCATTTTTTTGAGGTTAAATTTTTCTAGCATTTCACAAATTCTGATCGCATGGAATAGCTAGCTCCAACTATATAAGAAGCACATATTTAATTATTTTAAGAAATATCTACGAATTTACGTTAAAGTCGTTTGAAAACACATACATAAATATTGTGTTCTGATAAAAGAATTAAATTTGATGGGAAATTTTCTTCCAGCTTCGGCAACAATGGATGCGACGGTGGTGAAGACTTCCGCGCGTACCAGTGGATCATGAAACACGGTCTGCCCACTGAGGAGGATTATGGCGGATACTTGGGACAGGTATTTCTACTTACTAAAGTCTAGATTTGTTGCAAAATATCTGGTCTACCTTCTCTTTTCTTCCTTTTTCAGGATGGCTATTGTCACGTCGATAATGTCACCCTGGTGACATCTATCAAGGGCTGGGTGAATGTCACTGCGAAGGATGAAAAAGCACTCATGGTAATATAATCAATGATATTATTAATAAGAAAAAAAAACACACAACATACATATGAAACTAAAGAATAAAAATTCAAATACATAAGTCTACTGTATGATCAGAATATTTTTTTATGATATAGAAGGAGAGACGAGCATGGGTTCATTTGATGATAGGTCGAGCCATATAGCATCTTAAGATGCGCTGTAGACCTTTTTTGGTTTTGGATGCTTGAAAATCCACACTGTGGATAGTGTCTCGAGATCCAAACAAAATGTCCATATCATATTAAGATTGCTAGACAGTGTCCAACATGTTTCGGAAATAATCTAAATTGATTAGAAATATGTTGGTTCCGGTGGGGATCGAACTCACGACCCGTTAAGTCATTGCTGCCGTTGCCACGAGTTCGTCAAATTGCGAGTATTTGCCTAATCGGTTTAGTTTCATATGACTTAACCCCGTCATAAAGATATAATAACATTTTGATATTTTTTTTTATAGCTGGCTCTCTTCAAACATGGTCCCATTTCGGTAGCCATTGATGCCAGTCACAAAAGTTTCAGTTTTTACTCTAACGGCGTCTATTACGAACCGAAATGGTAAGTCTTTTTTAATTGAACCTAAACCGTTAAAAATGTTTTATTTAAGTAATTAAAGTTGTTCAAAAAACAGTCTAAGCTAAGAGCTCAGTTTGATTACTTCTTGTCCGATGTTTTCATGTTTGCCTATTTATATTTTAGTATAATTATGTATAATATAACATAAAATATATCCAATACATCAAATATAGACTAAATTCTTGTCTTAAATAAAGCATTTAATTATGGTTTAGCGAAAAGCAACAAAGCCCTGTGATTCAAATTTTGTAGTATTATAATATGTCTACATGAAAGTTTTTTTTACAGCAAAAACAAGGTAGAAGAACTTGACCACGCTGTGCTGGCGGTGGGGTATGGGGTGCTAAACGGCCAGAAGTACTGGCTCGTTAAAAACTCTTGGTCTAATCTGTGGGGTAATGATGGGTACGTCCTTATGTCAATGAAGGATGACAATTGTGGGGTACAATGTGCCCCGACTTATGTGCTTATGTAAGAGAAGAGTTCCGGTTTATGGCCTATTAGGCTTATATTGAGAACCGAACCAAACAATATACTGAATACAAATATTTTAAGTACAACCACATTTTAAAGGTCTGTTAAGAATCTCACTACAGTTGATTGAAACGAGATTATATTTTTTTTTTACTTTAAAACAACATTCCAGTCTTATTTTAAAGCGTTATAAGTACTAGTAGTAATAGAAAGTGTTGTCTCTTTTCTTACATTGAATCTGTTAGAAAGAGACAAAGTATAGGTAATGTAAGAAAGAGAAAAAGCATAACATGACGCAAATATCATAAAAAGGTTAATGGTAGTTTTAGTATAAAATAAAATAAATTTTGTATAAGAATTGGTGTTTCTTTTAATGTGGTGGAATCCATATACACATGTTTCCGACTTTTACTTGGTTCCCGGGGCAGACGTCTTGGTGTACTGTTTTCTTGTACTGTAATTAGATATTTGTTGTAAAGAAAAACATTTATGTTTTTGCCCAAGATCCTTTAAAAGTATGTATTTTGCAATATACAATTAATTTTAGTATTTACACCTACTAACAGTTTTTGATAAAGCAGCGATTTTTTTAGATTGTTTCTACCTGGGGTATTGTGTTGTATTTTCTTTACCGAAACGTTTTTAAGGATGTAAGCTTTACAGCTATTTTGGTGTCCTTGTTCTTTGTAGGGTATAAGAAAAATACAACTCTATATTCGACGTCGCGCAGTGTTGAAAAAATATTTATCCTAAAACCAAATCAATGTACTCGATCAGGTTAAATTATTGTGTAACCTCCTGAGCTACCCACCGTCCAATAATTCCAAGGAGGATAATGCGGCATCCACTCCTTATCTTCAGGAATAACTGGATCTTGTAGCTTTTTTTGACTAGGCGCCAGTGGGTCATTCGCTTCACCAGACTTCTCAAAAGCCCGAACAGAAATTCTCATTAATGGTTTCATAAACTTCTTATAGGTTTTTAGTTTGGACGATTTTGATTTCACACCTTTCAAAAGCTTTCTGATCTCTTTTAACAATGATAATTCTCTCTCTCTGGTATCTCTAATGTCTCGTCTCTTAGTAACGAATACTAGGTAATCATACTTCACTTCATTTTCGTTACCATTCCAAACTACGTCCTGTTCACTGATTGTTTCTTTTTTGTCATTAACTCCGTTTTCATCAGCACTTATATCGAATTTATCTTCGAATTCTTGTAGAACTCTATTGGATGCTGTGTTTTCGGCCATTGCTTCGTTTAGATCAGAAATTTTATGCTTCTTATGTATTCTTAGTAAAGGTTTATAAAATTTACTTTGAGTATTTGGTTCGTCGTGCGGTACTACTCTCTTTACTAAAATTTGATTATGTATTTTTTCACGTTTATTACTTCTGTTCTCATTCGGGATAAATTTAATGTTTTCAGAGGACTCATATTTCGATATGGTGTCGAATAATTTCGGTAGTAATTTTATATCTTGCTTATTAATGGTAAAAATGGTAGCGCCTTTAACAAACTGAATCAAATGTATAACTACGACTACTTTAAACGTGTACATTTTACCAATCTATAATATGTTCTATTTCAGTCACACAAATATCATTTTGGATGAAAGAGACGCAAGATAAACAAAATATTCATTCAAAATAACTAAGTTTTTAATTGAACAATTCAATTGAGCGTAAGATTTAACCATTAAATATTAAACAGTAGTCAAATTATAATAACTCTCATAAACGCGAAAATGTAACTGTACGTTTGTATATTTGTTTCTCCCTAAAGTAATGTTTAATTATAAAATATATATCGTTAATCTATATATATATTAACAGATATACTATGTGGGGGTTATTAGTCCAATGTATGGCTAATAATCAACAGATTATTTCTAATCAATTTATGTTTTTTCTCAAACATGTCACGAAGCACCGTCCAGAGAAATGGAGTCGCGAATTTAGTTCGTTTTACGGTTTCAGTCTGTGGAACGGAATGTCTAAAGCCAAAAAAGGTCGACAGCGCATCTCGTCAAGATGTTATATGGCTAAGGTTCAATCAAATAAGCCCTTTGTCTATCCTGTCCCATCATAAAAAGAATGGGCCAAAAGCCCAAGTTTCATTCCATTTGTAGCCTATGCTAATGCTTGTCTTCTGCTTTGCATGTCTTTTGTCTTTAAATCTGTTGTATATTTTGCCAGGTAACACATAACACGGAATGCAGGTACATAATATAGATCCTATTTTCTTCGACAGGATTTTTCGATACAAATAGCGTATATTTTTACAATAAATTGAAGAGTATTTATCACAATAAGGAGTGATAAAGCGTTGTTAAGCCTTTCTCACACAGATTCGTATTTGAAACTCAATATGATTTTTATTATTTTTTAATTCTATTGAAGTTCTGAAGTCTGCTCTGACAGCGGTATCCAAGTTATATATTTCGCGTATTAACCGTTTAAAGTGTTTTATTTACACAATACTTTATTACAGAGTTTTATTCTGTAGTATAAAAGTGTAGTGTATACTTACTCCGCATTTAAAGGACAAATAGACACTACATTTTGCATTCATTAACGATATACAAACAATAACATTCAAACATAGTTGATATATTTTATTAATAAAATATATAGAATAACAACATGGTCCTTCATTAAACCGACGTAGGTTTTCGAAACACGTAAAAGTTGAAGAGTGCCCTAACTCGGTAGCGAAGATTGTCACCGGTTCCTTCAAATGGATTACCGCTAAAAGCTTTTCTTAGTCTGTACAAACTAAATTTGTATTTCGTCTATAAAAATGTACAGCATCTTTATTGCAAGTGATTAACAGAAATTGGCAATATTTCGAATATTTTTTTTTATAGAAACAAAATTACCCGGGTCTCTTCAAGCTCACACACAATGCGGTGGACCAAACCGAGACCGATGACCCCCGTGAATTTGTAAATAGCAAACTGCAATAAACAACTTATTATGTATACAAGTAGAATGATTTAAATATTTTTTCATGTTTAAAAAGATTTTTATGTTTTCGCTCTTCTTAAATCTATCAAATTTGTTTCATTTCTGGAATATATATACGATCCTTTTATTGCGTAAAAATTAAATTTTCTATACGGAATCTTCCCTTTTTATTTAATATTCAACTTTAGGTATGAAAATATAATAGCAACTATAGTTAAAATGATTTGTAAATAAGTTTAAGTCCTACATTTCGCGTTTTACCCTGTTAAAAGTGTTTTATTCAAATGTGGATTACCCGCGTAAACTATAGACAGTATTCAATCTCTTATTTTATATGCAAGTAGCACCACTAAAAGTGGATTGATGATATCAATGAAACTGACATAGAACTATATTTGCCCCAAGCCCCACTAAGGGACATGGGTCGGTTATTCATCAGCTGAACCAAGATCGTATTATCCTAAGATATAGAGACGCCTGTAAAACGCTCGGGAGCACTATTACGGTTTTAGAGCGCGTGCGAGCCGTATTTATGACGTCATTACAAGAATTATATTGCAGTCATGACTGTATGCATTAGCCTTAAGGTGCTCTTCTAAATCTATTTCATTTTAGGTGGAGACAAAGGAGAAAGGACTTTCAGGTCGATCCAGTCGATTATGTAACTGCCATATTACTGATCAATTTTGCTTAAACACTAGTTACATTTGGTTGAGGTAAAAATTTTCATGTTAGCTTATTTTCCTTTAAAAATAATATACTCTTAATAGCTCAGTGATAAGCGCGTTGTCTAATATTGCGGGTGTGGCCCTGGGTTCTAACTACCCTAATATAATAAGTTTCAACATTTTGTCTTAAGGAGGGTAGACAGAATTTCAAATACCTTTATTCTATCTAACACTCCTATCTCGTGGTTTGTGACTGGACGGTATTTCGATATTTCTACCCTTACTTCTTACTACTTAATATCTAGATTTCCACGTTTCAGAAAAAATATAAATTGATTAGCGACATTTTATTAGGGGTAAGCCATACGTTTCTGCAAATTGGATATGATGTTAATAAATAAGCAAGTGCCTCCAAACACAAGTCGTATAACCCGTAACGATTCAAGTTAGAAAGTTTAAATGAAACACTTAAAAGGGTAATAAAAGTACTCCAAATGGATTTTTGGGTTAATAAAGCGAGCGAGTTATGTTAGGGGATAATTTAAATGAATTATGCGGTGAGGGTCAAGAAAAAATGGAGATTTAATTTTTAACGGGTTATCTTTTGCAGAAAATTCTGTTTAATACTTTGGTGTATTACATAAAATAATTGTACAAACTCAATAGTGTTAATATAAGTAGGATGAACCCGCATCAACCCCAACCCCGTATTAGTATATTACTTATTTACGCGAATAGTACACATTTCAATAAAATACTTTTAACGGTTTTAAACGCGAAGTACATAGGTCAACTTATTTTAAACTACGGACCGACGTTTTGGAAGCATCTTTTATTGAAAAGGTCTATCTTGCCGAAATAGGTAAAAAATTGGAACAGAATTTAATGCCTTATTATAGTATTTAGCGAAGTAAACTACCCGTGTGTACGTAATAGGTTCGACCCATTTAAGTGTAGCCGACTGCCGAGTACACTCGCGTAGAAAACGGGTTCCGAATCAATTATACCTCTAATTGTTTTGATTAAATTAGTTAAGTTCGAGCGTTCGCATCCGCTTACCATCGTACTCAAAATTGCTTTTAACATTTTGTCTCAAGATTAATTATGAAAACCGCTCTCTTGAGGGCAGTAGCGTAGCTGCAGCTTTATCAACTTGCCACCGAGGACCAACATGAGTGAGCAAAAATTATAAAAAATAAACATTTTTTTAATTAAAAATTAATTTGTGAAAAACTTTTACGCGCTCTAAAACCCCAAACAATCTAATAATTCGGGCCCCGACAAGCCATGCTATACTTCTGTTATAATAAAATATCAAGCCTTCTATTGCTAAATAAAAGTACTGTTGTATTAGATATAATTTGCCGTATATTGTTTAACTGTAACGCTATGTTACGAGTTCATTTCTACATAGAATATTTGACGTTGAATCAGAGTGCTTTGTCATGCTAAAGCGAACTTTCATATTTCCCTAGAATTCCAATTATCCACTCGCGCTGGCGAAACCTTCGCCGAAATTGAAAGTACAATAATAATTATTATAACTATTAAATTAACATGTGTAGACGCCTGTACCTCGCAGTTTATATAAGTTAGTCTGAGACATATCGGTGTGAGGCGACAGCGAGGAATAACGATCACATCTCGAGGGCGCCGTTCGATGTAAATTATATACACACTTAAATGTAAACAAAGGCTTTACGGAACCTTCGCTTAATTAGGTTTTGGGGGAAAAATGTCAAACTCCTACACGATTTGTTATCTGGAATTAAGCCGCATGAAATTGAAATATAATTAACTCGTTTAATAAGTTTGTATCGGATACCCGAGTTGGACTGAAATTTCGTTAGAGTTTTAAGAATATTAAGTGAAAAATTATCATCATGTTTGTATGACAGACGAAGATAGACAAACATGGGTTTTACTTTATACAAGTTGGGCTGTCGATTTTGACTTTGGATATTTGGAAATCCACAGACTGAAATCGAAAAACGATTGAACTTTTCTATCATCTGTGGACTATGTGGTTATGGGCGATGGCTGGAGTATATCACCTATCAAGGAGACCCCATGTTCGTCTGTGTTCCTCTGTCATAAAAAGGACACTTTTGTTAAAATATTTTAAAAAACGATTTCGCTAAAATGAAATATTCCCCGTGACAGTAAACTAATTAAGTCTTCAAGTAACGTTGTGACCCTTTCATAGGTAATAAAATATGCAGATTTCGCCGGAGTTCCGATCGGGTAGTAATTTATTGGACCATTGAGACAATTAGTAGGCTAAAGGACGAGGTTCAATGGCACAAAATCGGTGCTAGGGAATCCCTATTGATTGATTGGAGATTTTAAAATGATCCCATCAATCTTTTATGGGACTTTTTCGAGTGACGCTGATTGCTTGAACTCGTTAAACCAACTGTCAATAGTGGCACGAGATAAAGTCCATTAAGAACTGCTAATAAATTTGTCTTATTTATTTATTGATTATTAGGTAGTTATGCGGCAAGACATGACATTGCAGCATTATTTTTCCCAAGGATTGATTTGCAGTTCGGGGATAATGTTGGCCGGATGTCTCTTAGCCGCTGATCTAGCTTGTAGCCCTTATTTATGAG